TATCCGCACTGTCAACATTCCGTCTTCCAAATCACCATCTACCCCATCCGTAGCAGCACTTATGATAATAATTTACCATAAATTCATCCTCGTATCCTCGTATAAAGGCTTGGCTATGAGTCTGTGGATACGAAAATGAGCCAGATTCAAATCAGTGAGACGGGTTTGCCCGTTCACAAAAGCAAGAGTCATCACAACTTTTGCAGAGTTGATTACAATGTGACCGCAGGCCTATTAGTACAGGGCTTCTGCACGGATAAAGAGCGCAACAAGCTCTTTAAAGTCGCTTCATTGGCGCTTCCTGACCACTACGTCATTATTTTTCCCACGTACCGCATGCGCCTAAGTAACATCAAACGGGAAAATTCATTCTCTTTATGGAAATCATACCATTAATGTTGGTTGTTGGCGAAAGTCCTGACAAGTATCGGACTCAATTCGCGGTCCAGGTTAAAAAATTGTCTTACAGATTCATAAGCAAGATTAAGTGAAGCGGATTTCAGACAAAATTGTCGCTTGACTCCTAACTTGAATAGCGTATAAAGCACGGCGTGAACGTCAACGCAGATGACTAGCACCTCGAGGTTTAGCTACCAATAGCCCTGCTTACACTAGTGAGACCACTTGGTAGAGCTACCGGCCAAGCCTCAACTTATGCACAAGGTCGAGCATCATTTGGTCGCGAAAAAGAAAGGTTACATCTCACACAGAGAAAGATTCGGGCGTCCGGAAGCGCAAAGGCACCAGGCTCGTGCACGTAATCCACGGGCTTTTTTTTTCTTAAAAAAACCGAGCCCGTGGGTTATAATTTTTGTTTTTGCATGATGACATAGACTTTGAGTTACTTATATATAAAAAGTTAGTCAAATTACTACTTCATCTGTCACGGTCCTCTTCTTTGCGAGGTCACATCATTTTACAAGTAACAATACTTCGGTACTTTCGAACAACCATAAACACGCATGTGAACATCGTATAATTAATTATACAGTATCATATATACAAGTTTAGAAAAAGTGTCAGTTGTAAGTACACGATGGTGCTGTATTTACCCCGTCACCATTACGGTGTGAGCCACATCGGGTTTCACACTTCTGCTGTAATTTTCAGTGAGTACTCAGTGAGTACTCAGTGAGTACTCAACAAGAAACAACTGCGTTTGGAGTATACTTCAGAAGTACTCACCCGTGCGCTCGATCAAATGGCTCACTGCGACTCTTAAGAAAACACGGTTCTCGTGACCGACCTCTGGCATCTATTATCGGCGTGGATGCCGACACATTTTTAGAAAAAAAATTGTTGCATTGACATCAAAAGCTCAGACCAGCACTTCGCATTCATCATAAGCTACAAGGCCAACTTTTTCGCCGAGGCTGAGTTACTAACTGCGCTTCGCCTCTCTCTCGAGGGGCTGTGTACTTCATGCCATTTTTTTAACGGCGGGGCGTACCGGTGGATCTCACGACGGTGTTCAGCTCGTCACCAATATTATTAACCCAGCTTGCTCTTCTCCATGCGTGAAGGCCACATCAAGTCCGGTCAATATTACCACAGCGTGACTACGATTTGGACTGTATGAGAATGCCCACGTCGCTGAAGTGGAGTTTGGATATCGCTATTCTTGCGCACCGAAAACAAAACGAGTTCTATAGAGCCGCTCCAGAAGCTGGTTCTATCACCACAGATCATTCATTTCGGGAGAATCGCCTGCGTTTATAGCAGCAGCGGTCAAGAACCCCGTAATCTTTATGAGTGATATCTGAGAGCTGGCAAAAGCACCTATGAGAAACGTAATTCAGTTGCGCTCTGGGTGAAGTAATGCACCATAACCCGTCCTTAAGCTTTAACACATAGCTTCAGCGAAGCGGTAGTTCAATCAATGCCTGACTTTTGCAGCTGGATCATGACGCGGACGTCGAGGTGTAAGATTATCAGATCCGGCTTCTGCTGTTTAGGCCTTCGCGCGTCCCCATGCGATGATAAGAGGAAGGAACTATCGACAAAAAGGTATGTATATTAAATAGATGGTTTCACTCGTGAATCTGCGATAGGCAACCTTGCCTCTTTCAATAGAGGTGCAGCGGGGCTGCCGTAGCTTTGTCCATTGAGGAAGCGTAAGTTAGGTCACCTATCTCTCGTTCTATACTTAGAACAAGTACGAGTTTAGCGGATCGTAATCCGCATTCTCCAAGAGTACTTATAGCCTTAACCAAAGGCTAATTAAGTATTTAGTTTAAATTCAAAACTGATTTTTTTTTTCTGCGGCAAAGCCGCCTAGTTTTAAATGCATAGATTTTCTTAAATATTTATAGTAAATACATGTATGACTGCTGGTTATCCAGCCCCGTACCGTATTCTTGTTTGGATGTGGTCACACCATGCCCATATGGTGCGATACACACCCTGTTACCAGAGTATGTGTAACCCCGTTAGAAGAGGGGTAGGTCAAACGTGCGCCAGTTCGTAATTGGCAGCGGCACTAATAAAAACTTGCCAAAGTGAAGCCTCAAACTTTTTTTAGCTTCCTACATGAAAGTATTCACCCACTGTTTGCAGCCTTGGTGTACCCATCGATCTACCCGATATTCTACGCAAGAGTGGCTCATACCTGGTCCATCAAGCAGCGCCAGCAAAGGTCGACCCCCCTGCGCTTAGCTCTCGTAAGCTCTCTTGATTGTGGCGATATGTCGAGTTTTAAAGAGTCTCGGCGTAAACTCAAAGCTGGATGAGCCAGATCTCGAGTACGCTTTATTTGCTCGAAAATTCAGCGCATGGCTTGAGGTATCCTCGTCGCTTCAAAGCCGCTTTGCCTCTCTGCAAGAAAGGGCAGGTTAGCTACAAAAGATTTAGAAATGATGCTCCGTTTACAAAACAATGCTACACATCTGCATGCTTTATAATAACGGGATCATTATGGCTCTGGCAAGTCTGCTGGATAAACTTGCACTGTCTCATGGTGTGTACAGCATCAAAACTGCATGGCCATACGATTATAGCCACGCTTCACATGTCTTACAAGTCCAGCATACATTACTTGGCAAGTAAACTTTATATTCTTGTCCTGACTCCCTCCATTTCACTGCCTCGCGACAAGCTCTCTCACTATGACCGGGACCACTTTATTATGGTGTCAAAATTAAAGTTTAACCAAATCGCTTACCCATAATAAAAATGAACCCTGTAGAGGTGAGCACTACCTCACTCACTAGTAGCCTGTTCCAGCTTCGTGGCCTCTCCGTACAAATAATCTGAAGGATATGTTAAGTATGCAAAAATGCGTTTCTTTTCATCAACTGTTTGCGAATGGTCGTCGTTTGACATGTTTAATGTGGCGTCCAGCACCATGATAAATGTTTGATAGACATAAACTTTGCTGTAATGCGCCTCTCCGATACAATGGCTACAAGTAAGACATTTTCAGCTTACCAATACCCCCACCGGTTACAGCTTATGATGTCACTGACAGCAGCGAAAAAAACTATTTTGCTCTCAAAGCGTAGTAGAGTTTGACTCGTTGACACGTTTAGTTTGGGTACCTCATATAGTTGTTTATATACGAGATTTCATCATAAGATACGACTATTATGTGAGTCAGCGCTGTAATACAGCATGCCTTCGGATTAGGAATAGCGATGTCGACTTCCAACCAAGCACTCAAGCAATATTTGAGCCCCGAAAATTCGTACATTTTAAAGCTTCAGCAACGCAGCAAATGTATCTATCACCTCGTCGACTGGTGACTCGACCATCGTGACACGCGAAAGCGCATCTGCCACCGCATTAAGCCGACTTCACCTCAACAGCTCACTCCGCGAATAAGGACAATAATTGCTCTTTTTCGGTGAAAGCTGTGGTGACTACTCTATCTTGCGCGACAATACATTTCCTGTATAGATTTAAAATGGCTCAGGGACCCTTGCAAGAAACAAGGCTGTTCTTCTGCCGCTTTTAGCTGGCAAGACTCAAATGTTCATGTCTATCGGCATTCGTCTGAGAAAATGTAAAGCATATGAGAATGGCTTAGGCGTCAAAGTCTACGTCAATTGGCCAACGCGGTCTTAATAGAGTACGACTCGAGGCACGCAAGAGACTTTTTTCATATTTTTGGAAGCCGCCTCTTCTGCCGCACCTCAGCAGCATTTGACATCCTTAAAAAGATGATTGGTGAGAATCTCATGTTGGCATAGTTCGCGCAGTACTTGTGTAATAGTTGGTCTTTCCGAACCACTCTAAGAATCCTTTCGAAAAATCGGTACTTCTTAATCTATGATGCCTATACCATTTACTGATCTACACACGAATAAGCAAATCTTGTCGACGCCACATTTGCCATTCGATGTTTGACGAAGTCTCAGGCGAAAGCTTAAACTTTAGATTTAACATGAAATAGAGCTCTTTCCACACACATTTTTTCTTCTATTTGCCATAACAACTTTGTACGAAAGCCTTCTGTAAGGCGTCCATAGGTTGCTTATACTCTCGCTGGTTATACCATTCCAGAGCGGCTTTCGTGGTCCTAGCTCAGATAGACTGAATCTAGTGACTATAAATTGTGTTTTTTCTTTGGAGGCATAAATGAGTGAATGAACCTAAAGGCTGGCTGTATTTCCGAAAAACAATGAAGAGCCAGGTACCAACTCTTACAGGATTTGGAGAAAGCCTAAGCAAAAGAAAGCTCGACACATTCGTATCAGGCATGTCTATGCCCGCAAAAAGTAAAGAAGAAAAAGCAATTATACTGCTGACTGTAACACGAGCGGTATAGTGGTTGATGCCTGGAACAAACCGCTAAGCTAATAACACTTCGAGAAACTCTGTCTACGATGAAGGTAAATAATATCAAAGGTGATCAAAAAGTTGAGCTACTTTGTTATTTTTCTATGGCTTTAAACAAATTAATCATTAACTTTAACTTTCATTTCTTAAAATCTACACAACGCTACAGCATTTTTCATTTTCAACCAATTAGCATACAAAATGACATTAACATATCCAGTCAAATGAATGAAACTGCTAGAGTGATTGTCTCTGGAACCAGAGGAATTAAAAAGAAAACGGAGGAAGAGTGCGTGCTCGGCTGCCCTATACAAAAGTCAAAAGGAAACTAGACTTAGAAAGCTATCTAATTACAGCTTATTTTCGTCTGTCTACCTGGCGCCTGCTTGTTGCTGCACTCCAGCCCTATCATCAGCTTATACCCGTGCCAGGAAGGTATACATTCATACTCAGAACTGCTGCTCGGCATATAATTTACAAGTTTATATTTCAGTTGTATGGACGCCAAGTCTTTAGTTAGTCGCACGACTTCATCTTCAGACGCAACGCCTTCTAAGAAGCGCAGAGCGGTCATTGGAGCGATCACCGAATCTTCAATTCCTGAAGCTCATTTACCACTTGAAGTCTTTGTATCTGAGAGAAAACGGAGTGGTCCCCCGCTTCTGCTGTGCACGTCAGGAGTTGAAAATCCAATTTTGGCCGCACTTGGTGGTACTCCTCGCTCAGAGACAGCAGTAATTACGGGATATACTGAGCCAGAGCCATTAGATCTATCTCAGTGTAGCTCTGCGACGTCTATGGAAAGCGTGCTCGAGGAAAAGATCGCGATAAATTTGAGTCATGAGGATGAAAACAGACGATATGTGGAGATTGAAAATGCTGAACATACTAGTCGAATGATTGTTAACCAGGAGCATAAATCCATGCGATTTCGAAATACGGGACTTGAGACCAAATACGCGGCTCCTTTTGGTACGAAATAGAAACTGCAATTGTTATGATAGAGTACTTGCTGATGAAGTTTGTGTTAAAGCTGGAAAGAGGAAACGAGAGGAACGTGAAGATGGTAGAGCAACAGACTTTGTGGCATATGCTAGAGAACATATTCATAGCCAAGAAGCAGGTGAAGAAGGTTTTTCAATCGATCCATCGGAACGGGCAGTGGAACATCGTGCTAGTAAAGCAGTGCGTCGCGAGATCTTAATTGCTTCTCCTGCAGCAAATGATGACGAAGAGTGGGAAGTTAACACTTCACTGGAAGTCAAAATGGATGAGGTGGAGGTGGTGCTGACTCCGACCGAACACTTTGATCTGCAACCTATCGACATTATTTTACACGTCTTCTCGTTTTTAGTCACGGCTAAGAATTTGCAGAATATGGCACAAGTATCAAAAAAATGGAAGGAACTGACAAGTCGGCGATCTTTGTACCGAACACTGCCAAGTGTGACTCCAGAAGGATCAGTTAACTGGATTAATTTCAAGAACTTGGGCATTAAGAATAAAGGAACTGAGGGAACTTGCATAAAGTGTTGCCAGCGCTCGACTGGTAAAATTCTGGCCATGAAAAAAGCGAGAGTTTTTCCGAAGGTATGGTGATTGCTAGTCAATTTACTGCGTGTGTGCGATTTACAATTGCTTGTGTGTGCGAAGGGTGAAGGAGTGCCTTATTACATGCTTCGAGAATTAGCTGTGTTAAAGGGAATCAAGCACGATCACATTGCCTCACTTGAACTTATTAGCCTCGCAAGAGACGAATTACACGTATTTTTTCCATATGTGGACAAAACACTTCATGAAATTATCAATCCAACGGGTGACCCAAATGGCGGGCGAATGTTACCAGAAGCTGTGGTTAGTCTATTTATCAGGCTATTTCCTCTTTAAATCGTTCCTGATCATCTTTGATGCGTGCTAGATTCGCAAACTTCTTCACCAACTTTTGGATGCTATCGCATACTGTCATCGACGTGGAGTTTTGCATCGCAATCTTAAACCAAAACATTTGCTAATCAAAACGACTGACCCTGAAAAACTTAGTGAGTGGTCGAAAATGTGACTGGATGATAAGTTTTCTCTAATGTCTGTATTGATGTTTGCTCAGGTGATGCAACGTTGCAGATATCCGACTTTGCGCTCGTTCGAGCAACAGGAATTCCCCGTCGAACGTACACAATGGAAGTGGTGACACTGTGGTATCGTCCACCTGAAATTTTAATGGGAGTGCGTGGATACTCATCAGCGGTGGATATCTGGTCTGTTGGCTGCATCTTTGCAGAGATGGCTCAGGGCAAACCGCTGTTTACAGGCATTTCAGAGATTGACCAGCTATTTCAAATTTTTAGCAAGCTGTCGACACCCACGTCTGAAACATGGCCCGGTTTTTCGTCGCTGCCGAACTATCACTTTGAGTTCCCGCATTGGAAGCGTCGACCCTTAAATCGTCTATTCCCGGGAATTTCTGATCATGGCATTGATTTGTTGACGAAGCTGCTTACATATAACCCGGACCAGCGAATTACTGCCGAAGACGCTCTTCGTCATCCTTATTTTTCTGATAGAACATCTGAACTATTGACCCTGACACCAAAGATTCCAATGGATCAAATGTGCTACACGATAACTCGTGCTTGGATTGGCCCAACGCCAGGACACGTGGCACTTTTTCATGCTTACCTGCGCCAGACAGAGCAAGAATCGTGGAAGGAGATAAAATATTTGAGGTGTGTAGCAGTGTCTAGACGGCCGCTGATGTCAATTTCTTATCGTTTTCATGCTGTCTTGCAGCCGCCAAAAAACGCTCAGACCTGCACATCGATCGATGCTTGTCGACTGGCTGATTGAAGGTGCGCTCGAGAGTGCTCAAGTACATTTAAGCTGCTATTTATCGAATGACAAAATTGCTTTTGTGTATTTTTTAGTCGTGGACGTGTTTGAGATGTGTCTTAGAACAGCTTTTTTGGCAGTGAACTATACCGATCGTTATTTGGATATTGTTATGGTGAAAAAAACGCAGTTTCAGCTACTTGGTGCTACCTGCTTACACGTCGCTTCTAAGTGTGAAGACGTATCATATATCGGAGTGGAAGACCTTGCAATGTGCGCCGATAACGTCTACACATCTGTGGAAGTTTTGGAGATGGAAGAAAAGTTGTTGAACACTCTTAATTTTACCCTTTCGGTACCCACTGGTATGTGGCAATCACCTTGAGCACGCTTGAGTATCAATGAAATTTACTGCTTTTGATGATCAACTGTACGCAGCGCTGGACTTTTTAAATATCTACGAGCGCATGATTCCGCCTATTCAAAAGAAAACGTCTATGCTGGCGCATTATTTGCTGGAATTGGCGCTACAAGAGTACCAGTTTTTGAAATATTTGCCATCAAAGGTGGCGGCATGCTGCCTTTCAATGGCGATGTACACGATTGATGGGTTCCCAATGGTAAGCGAAGAGTTATTTTCATGATACTGACTTGTTAGTAATCTCTGTATCATCTGTCTATAGACGAAGGAACTGGTGGATGCTTGCCAGTACGAGTGGCCGGATCTGAGAGAGTGTATGGGTGAGCTTCAGACACTGTACTCCAATTCACCATCAAACAGTCTAGCCGTGATTAAAAAGCGCTATTCAAAAGCAGAGCGGTGCCAAGTAGCAAATGTGCTCCCTCCAACGTCATTCAGTATGGCATTTTAGGTGTCTGTATTTGTAAGTTACATATTTAGAGCTCGGTCTCTAGGTGAGTAAACTTCTTGCGCTGCTGACATCGAAAGGCCATGTCCAGGGAGCGATTACATGCTCGTCAACCTTCAGACAATCGGGAAAATCATACAAAAGACGGAATTATGACGAGCACAAGGACATTTCGAACTAGAAACCCGCGTTTCAATATTGCAATAATAAAATGAGAATGACATTTATCGAAGCTGGTAGAGATACCGTCGACATCTACGTCGTTATCCCAGAAATTTCTCCTTCAGAGCTACAATCATTGTCAACGTGACCAATGTCTTCAGGTGACCCAACATCTACTTCAGAAAGCTCGCTTGCTTCAGAAGCTTCGCTTGCCTCTCCTGCTCTTGATTCGTCGACTTTTTCTTTCTTCTGAAAGAGCATCTGACGCAGCTTTGCTTCGAGATCCGTCGCGATTTGAGGATTATCTTGTAGAAATTTTTTAGCTTTAGACCTGCCCTGCGCAATGGGTTCTGCACTTAATTCATCAGATCCAAGATGACATTTAGAAACTCAACTTTCAAAGACTTAACTTCGCTTTCGGCCAGACTATACCACGCCCCGGCGCGATTTAATATACCATACTGCACACCTAAATCAAGCTAAACAGCAAACATTGAGCTCATTTTACCTTACTATAATCCAGCATTAATGCCGTACTAGCTCTGATTGTCGGTCGATTCCACGCCCGAACATCATGTCGAAATTTGCCACTTTGAAAGGGGAAGCCAACTTGTTCTTGGCAACTTTGACCACTGTCTCATTGCCAACAACCTCATCACCTTCCTTTATGGCCGTCTTACGTCGAATATCCAGTCGCACGGATGCATAGTAACGCAATGCAGTACCACCAGACGTGACCTCAGGCGACCCAAAGATAATACCTACTTTTTGACGGATCTGGTTTAAAAAGATGATTGTGCAGTTCGACTTGGACAAGGACCCTGTCAACTTCCTTAGGGCCTGACTCATTAGCCGTGCCTGCAAAGCAATCTGCTGATCTCCCATTTCACCTTCAAGCTCGGCACGCGGAACTAAAGCGGCTACACTGTCCAGCACAACAAGATCCACAGCTCCTGATCGAATGAGAGTGTCTGCGATCTCCAACGCTTCCTCTCCAGAATCCGGCTGTGAAACGTACAATGCATCGATATCAACTCCTAATGCCTTGGCGTAATGGGCATCGATCGCGTGTTCTGCATCAATAAAGGCACACACACCACCATCCGTCTTCTGAGCTTCAGCAATGCAGCTGAGCGCCAGCGTCGTCTTGCCCGAACTCTCGGGACCGTAGATCTCCACAACACGCCTAATAGTCATAGCATGACGAATGTTGTCATCTTCATTAAAATTAGTTTAACTTTTGTACGCACCCTCTCGGTATACCACCAATACCTAATGCCAAGTCTAAAGATAAGGAACCGGACGAGATAACGTCAACGTGCTCTGCAGTCTTACTACGACACGATATCATTCATGACGCAAACTTTCTTCATCAAGCTTTTGTCTTATAAGGTCATCGCTTTCCACGAATAGCAACTTACGTTGAGCCAAGCTGCATAACGGCACCTTTGCCAAAGCTACTTTCAATCTGTCGAATGGCCATTGTAAGTGCTGCACTGCGGTCTACGCAATACTCAGCTTTAAAAACACATTATTGACTCTAGACCAAATTTCAGTCGTACCAGAACTACTAGTGGCGCTTACGCGCCCAGATTTAACAGCCGAACGTTTATATCGCTTGAATGATTGACAAGGCAAGCCGATTAGAGTCGTTGCAGGCGGACCAAGCAGCAACAATCGGCGTAGCATTTCTGATGGTGTCGAAGAGCTTTTTTAAGTTCGCATGCTTAGGTACGAGATTTTGGGTTACGCTGGTAGAAAGGTTATACAATATTTCTTAAGGCATTTCTAAACCACTGATGGCCATGCAGCGCTCATCAATGCCGTCTCCATGTCCAACTCCGAGACGTTCGGTGCTTAACACGAAACGAAACAGTCATCAGGGTATTGCCATGTCATTGGAAAAGCGTCCTCCTCGTGAATTACTTAGCCGAATCGGTATAAGTGGGAAAGATGTGGTGAGGACTATCAAAGAATTAAATTGGGATATTGAGGAACCTCATGGTCTCCAGCTGGAGAACGTATACCACTTACCGGGCAGTAAAGAAAAAGGAGAAGAGGCCAAGCAGAATGAAGATTATTTTGTCGGCGAGGGAGAGCTGTACGCATATATTTTAAAACAAGGTAAAAACTCAAACAAATCGATAGAAGATAAAGTAAGTCAATCGCTGATAATTGCGTGACGTTTCTGCAAGGTGGAGCTCGGTATCTGCTACTGGATGAGCCGGAGTCGTCTGATTTAGAGCCGACACAGCAGTCAAAACCATCAAAATCATCAAAATCATCAAAGTCGCTAGAAGATATCAAGAGTAAAAAGAATTCCATGGCTATAAAGGAGAACAATACTAAGCGACATACAATAGATGAAACCAATGGAGTCTCATCAGCTACGATTACAGAGGAGAAGCGTAAGTGGAAGCGACGCAAGAAGCTTTCGACGGCCAGGAGCGATTTGGTCAAGAAAACACAGCCATTCGACGATCAAATTAGGTCGCGTGAGAAAAGCAGTAGTGTTAATGTTAGCATGGCTGATGATCACGAATCAATTCGGATCGAATCCCGTTTGAAGCTTAAGCATGGTAACATAAGTCAACAAGCGGAATTTAACGATTATGAAGCATCGTGGAAGGCAAAAGGATGGCGCGCACAATTGCTACAAGATATCGACGTGCATTTGCTGCGATCGGTGGCGGCAGTGGATCGTAGACATAGAGCTTTGGAGATTTTAAAGGAGGGGCAAAAAAGTCATGGTCGCCCCATAGGAGGGAATGGACCTCATGTTCAAGATGCGATGGAGATTTCAATAGAAGTCGATGGCCTTTTGCACAGTATCCGTGCATCGCAAGACGATATTTCTTCCATGATTGAGGCAATTATTGCACAGGCAGAGCGTCTGACACATCCTGACCGAATTGACCCTATAGGCCGCATTGGTATCCCTGGTTTCATCTCTACAGGTTCCAGCGCTCTGATGCTGATTCGTGATGTTGAGCGGTATCTGCTTCTTGTCGTTGCTGCAATTCGTCGCTATCAACGAGTACGAAAGACTTACGATGCTAAGGGATGCGTAGATGGACTCCCTAAATCAGCTAATTCCGCTTCAAGGCGAGAAAAGTTGCGAGCTCTTCAATCAAGCATTGAAGAGTCAAAGGAGGAACTTCAGGAATTGACAGTCATAATTGCTGATGATCTACGCCAATTGTACGTGGAGCCAGAATCTCCTCAATCTACATATTAGAGACGCCTGAAAAGAGTTATTTAAGATTTATACGGGTAGATGTGCCTGGAATCGGCTGGCCCCTGAAAATCCGGTTTGACTACCAAAGTAAAACTTGTTTGTACGAATGGGAAATTCGAACTCGATAATATTTATAACCAAAGCGCATTGTCTGAACTTTGGACAAGACCGTGTTTTTGTCTGAAAGCAAATGCAGCATTGATTTGGAATGGATACCAAGTATTGTTATAACAATTTAATTGTGACGGTGCAGCTTGGCCCTCGATGAATACTGATAAAGCTCTAGCGACGCTTTAAGCATAACTGTCATATCCCCCTCGCGCCGCTTCGCGTCAGTGCTGATTTTGTCTTTTGGGCAGCATGTCCGAGTACCAGCATCTTCATCAAGAACACAAGTCTAATTACGGGGCGTTATTGCCGATAAAACGCACGTTGCATCAGCTCCACCCACAGCAAAACACGCATTCCGTAAATTTTGGTACGAAAGAACCGGAACGGTTTACTTAGCACACTACTCACACATGATTCCGTCACGAAAGAGGCTGAAAGTGGAAATTTATTTTCGACTACCAAAATTATCAGCGTCAGTCACGGCTCTCGTAGTTGTGACCGTCTCAGCCGGTATAGATCAAACAAATTTCATCTGAATGAATTTGGTTATCGACAAATTTGTTATATTTTCAGATACTTGGATCACAGCTCGTTTGGAATTGGTCTAGACACCTTCCTTGCCTTGGTCTCCATTGTTTTTGCAAGTTCTTACGTTGCATTCACGTACGTCTCTCCAAATGGGGTACGTCTTTCGCACGAATTTGCTTCGAGCTGGATCTTAAGTGATAATCTGACTGAATTTTAGATGCCTTATAGTCTTTGGATAACAGATATCGTGTGTGCAGGTTTATTTGCAGCCGATTTTCTGTTTCGAGGCATTTATCTCTCCAGTCATCGTCGAGACTACATGTTATCATTCTCAGGAATTGTTACCCTTGCTGTCGTGCTGCCTGTGCTCCCTACGTCGTTCTTCCTTCGAAACCAGTTTAGTTGTATTTATAATGACATGATAATATCTGCGGTAGCTCACTGATTGTGCTTGTGATGACCCCAGTACTCTCTGGTGTGGCATTTCCAACTGGCGCTTCGTGTACCCAGTACGGTTTGCTATGTGCTACATCAAAGCCAAAGCAGTTTTAAGTCGCTGCCACGGACTCCTATCTCCTGTCCAACAGTTTGTAATTTTATGCTATCTTCAATTAATGATCATCATTGCCGTCGCAGCGGGTGTCATACAAGTCGCTGAGACTGCAAATTCCAAGTACGCGGGCGGAAATCTCGGTGAATGGACCTTTTTCAATTCATTTTTCAACTCAGTGCTTGCCTTTGTGACGATCCAGTCACCTCCTGCCGAAAATCCACTGGCCAAAGTTTGTGTCGGTGCGCTCGTTTTGGTCCTCATCTTGATTGTCCCATACCAAGTGTCTCAAATTCTTGCGCTTGGAAGCTCCTTTTCTCCATACGAGCTCGCAACGCACTCTCCATCCTCGACCAGTAAACATATCATCCTTTGTGGTGACCTCACTCCATCACGTATTGACCATTTCTTTCACGAAGTCTTTCATGACGACCATGATCTTGTCGACATTAACGTTGTGGTGCTCAGTGAGGAAGAACCAGCAACGTCACTGATTGCTTTGCTCATGGATCCTTTCTTCGAAAAACGAGCTAGCTTTATTCAGGGATCGCTATTGGATGTCGATGATTCCCAACGAGCAGCTTGTGCTTCCGCAAACGCCATCTTTATCCTTGCACGGCGTGTAGCAGGAGAATCTCCTGCCAGTAGTGATCACCGTGCGTTGATGCGAGTTCTTGCAGCGCGACGGGAAGCACCAAACGCCCGTGTCTTTGTCCAGCTCCACTTGTCAGTCAACCGAAGTCTTGTTGCTGACTTGGGTGTATCAAGTGTTTTATGCTTCTCAGAAGTTATGCATTCCTTACTCGGCCAAAACTGTGTCTGCCCGGGTTTCTCGACCTTCATCTACAGTCTCACATCAACATCTAGCTATGTCACTAGTGGAGACTACGATGAACCACCAGAGGCAGATGCTTCATGGGAAGATCGTTATCTGCACGGCTCAAGTCACGAAGTATATTCTGTCGAATTACCGCCAGCGTCAGTCGTCTTTGGCAAAACATTTTCTGAGGTTGCATCCCTTGCTTACGCGCAATGCTCGGGTGTGATAGTTTTTGCAATAACTACCGCTCGATCATCTTCAGAAGGCAGCAGTGACAGATTACTGCTAAACCCCGGCGATTCCTACACGTGCGCTGGAGCAGAAACAGTCTTCGTCATTGCTCGAGATCGACGTGAGGCGAATGCAGTGACTGAGATGCAGGCCACTTTAACTATGCCTGAAGCTTGGATGTCACAGCGTCAGAAACCAAGTTCTAGGCACTTCTCGCGTGAAGACTCTGCTAAATCAAAACTTCCGATAACCATCAAAAGCAGCACCAATGATGACACATTTGGCAACTCGAACAGTGATGACATGTTCACGCTTCACCGACGACGGTCACGATTAATTAATTGGCAATCGAAAGCAGTGAGCCCCGCGTCGATCGATAGCCACGAGAATCTTACGACCTGGTCTCCTGAAGAGAACGATGATAATCTTCTCACTGTCAAGACTAGTGATCTTTCTCCCACTCACGAACGTGGCAACTCGAGAGAAGCGGTAATTCAAGACGTAACTTCACTCAACCTTAAAATTGGTCACATTGTAGTCTGTGTACTCTCGCCGTTGACGTTTCCTCATCATCTTGAATACTTTATTGGTCCACTGCGCGTACGCGCTCTGCGACTACATCGCCCAGTCGTCTTTGTAACGACGACCTTGCCAGAAGCAGATGAATATGAACTATTCCAGCGGTTTTCAAACGTACACTTTATCATCGGCGATCCATTTTGCCATAGCACCTTACGACGAGCTGATGTTCACCGCGCGTTTCGTATTGTTCTCATGGGTGCTGAAGGTGACATATCGGATTCTGGCACATCCGAGCTGCTTCAAGATGCGGTAAGTAAGCTTGCAGTTTGATTTGATGCAGTTCTAGGAATTAAACTCTTCTACCTGTGTATCTAGGCGTGCATTGCTCTACATAAGACTATCATGACTTTGATAGGGCCCAAACGAGCGCCTCGCATCATCACAGAGCTCGTTAACCGCGCAAATGTACATTTTGTAGCTCAGAACCTCACCGTGAGTGGCTGGTTTCCACTTGCAGAGTGCGATTCGGCTGCTATTTCGACTTCTTCACTCGAATTGGCGCGTAATTTTGCCGTATCTCCCGCTTTTGCAGCTGGACTCACGTACAGTACATCGCTTTGCGATAGTTTGCTTATCAATCAGTTCTTCAACGCTCGCATCAAGAATATTTTGCGCGAGTTCATTTTTGCTTCCTGGACCGATGGTGGCGTTGGTACCCTTCCCAGTTCACCGGCGACAACTGGCGGCTTCGAAGACGCTACTGCGTCTCCAGCGTTGTCACCGTCATCAAACTCAAGCGTACAACGCAGCTCGCTATTTGCTGTGGAGGTGCCATTGGACTTTGTCGGTCGAACATTTGAGTTTGTGTTTCACTACTTGTTGTCTTCAGACGGTATACTCGTTATTGGAATTTATCGTTGCCGTCCTGATGTCATGCTTCAGTCGTCTTCAGTGCAGCTGCTGAAAGACGGCCAATGGACGAAATCAGGTCCAAGAACTCGCATTGAAGTTCCTGAAAGTGAACGAAGTGTGCCTTTTGGCTACGTTTACGTGAATCCACAGCCACACGAGGTACTTACTGGTAATGATCTACTTTACGTTCTGTCAGATATCCAGCCTTGCTGGGCAGACACAGCCAACGAGTGTCCACAATAAAATAAATGAAGCAGCTGAAAGTTAAGCAAAATAAAAACGTGATTACAAAGAGCGTGAAAGAATCTGAACTGAGTTAGTGCTATCTTATGAAAGGCAGATACACCGCGGTTAACTAAAATGATATCAATCTTACGATCACCGTCCTAGATCAGACCAAACGCATCTGATACAAGGCTCTATTTCAGCAGTCTAAAACGGTGGCATCGTTTGTTCCTCATACTTAACGTTTTTATCCTCATCACGAGATGAATCAAGCTGCATTTCGTCGCCCTCAGTCGAAGTAGAATCGCTGTCATACTCGAGACTTAACCCGAGCGGCATTTCCTTGGATATAGCGCTTTTTCCCAGCGAAATGCCATCAACATCAGACTCGCTGTCAGCCATGGATCCCCAGTATTCCTCCAAAGTCGAGTCGATGGTAGTCGGTGCCGGAACCGATTTCTTAGCCTCCGGTAAATGTTCACTACCATCCTTCACATAGGTCGTCTGGCCATCTTTTTCATTGTCGTTGTCTTCAGATGTTGAACCATCATCGTTTTCGGAATAGCTGAGCACATCGTCGAGAGCTTGTAGGGTTTTGAAGTCCGGATTATAATAAGTGTCATTGACAGTGAGAGAGTCGTCGCTCCCAGACTCGGAGTCGCTATCATGAAGCCAATAGTCCTTCAAACCTATTTTCTTGGGTGCACTTTCACTATCATCCCCACCAAGCCAAGAGGGATATTCATCTACAATGCCTTTTTTCACGGGTGTTTCGTTAATCTCGCTCTTTAAGTGGCTGTCAATTAGCCATGACAGATCGTCATCGAAAGAGGCGCTGGTGTCTAGGGCGTTGGTCTCTTTCAAAGCCGCAATGAGATCAACCAAGTCCACCTGGTTGCTCCCACTGCCAATCAAAGACATGATATCGACCTCGTATTGACTGCCATCGAGATTTTCATTGTCATGCACGTAATCGGCGACATCAACGGTGAGATCGTGATCGTCTAAAACGTTTTCATCGATTTTAGTGCTGAGCGAGGAATTTGAGTCGTCTTTGGTGCTATCGTCAGAAGAGGTTGATCGTAGGTATTTTGGGTCACCGGCGTTAACGCTCGTGATAGCAAGGGCAAAGAAAGCTAAACCAAACGGTAACATGTTTCAAGTAAAGCAGTGGATGTACGATCGTCTTGGCAAATCCAGAAATGAGTTTTGAATCGCATACCTCTTGCCGATCAGCTTTGGATTGAATCCATCCGGAGCTAATCGTTCCACAGTATTTTTGATCTAATCCTTCTGTTTTACAAGAAAACCTGATAAATACCCCACCTATCTACACGTAAACTACACAATAAACTTATATTTTAACGGTAAATTAAATTTGTATGTCAATTTTGAAATATAGCGATGAACACAGAGCTCGATTTGGTGCCTGAAGATCGACGAATATATCTTGATTAGGTTAGACGTACCATATGATCGCTCTCTGGACTTTGCTACATAGAAAACTGCTCTGTACCCATCAGACATGATTACAATCATTATAGATAAAAGAGCATTCAAATTGATGGCTCTGCCTCTATTTAATTATCTGGTATCCAGCCACATAAATTTCATAATAAAATCAAAATGCTGGACTATAATAATAAATATATATTTGGACTTGACACATGCTAAGCAAAAAAAGCAAAAAGTCCTAAGTTTTATCTCGGACCACCGATCATCCCGTATGGACGATACCCTAAGAAGAGCGCGCCGTAAGCGACGTATATGAACAGTAGGAGACTGATTCCAGCAGACAAATAATAAAATACTGCAAGCCAATTCAATTTGTGCTCGTGCGCATACGTTTCCAAGATGCGTAGCTTCTGCGCGGTTATCTCTGAAGCCTTCGTTCCATCGATGACACTTCTTATGTTGAAATGCGGGGTCAATCTGACAGGCTTCTTTACGAAAAGGCTACCTGTTCTGAAGAGGTATCTATTTTCGGCATCCGCAGGCATCAAGCCTCTTCTAGCACCAGTTGCCGACCCTAGAAAGTGAGCCGAGTCGTCGCCTTTCAACGCATCAGAACTAATCGAATGAGTGGTCAGAGCATCAATAAACTCAAGAATGCTCGCAACCACCGCCAATCCAACAGTACTTCTCCACCTCATATCTTGGCGTCACTTGCCTTGATTTTTGTATCTCACGTCCGGTTACAGAGTGCAGAAGAATCCATCGTCCTGTTAACCAATGAAACCGTGAATTTGAGTTCCTCTTTTTAAAGATACTGATTGTGATGGTGAGTGACGCATTGGAGGTACGGTAGGAGCAGCTGATTAATGTCTGAATAATGATAAATTGAGATGAATGTCTTATTGTAAAAATCGATAATTGGTGTCTAAAACTGCACAATTAAATGTCATTTTTCCGATATTAATGTAAACGCTGAACATGCTCCAGCTGGATAGCTTCTTTCGACTCAGACTACACAGCAGAGAAGAGCAAGTCGATTAGATTCTGGATATATCATGGTATAAGGCTAAATCAGGTTAAGAAGGGTATGTATTTGTTTTGCACATTTGATTAATAATTTGAAGAGGAAGTAGAATGAGATGCATAAACGAGCTTACTCACCTGAGGTTTTGGACTCTATACCTCTGGCCAATATTTAAGTCGGAATAGCTGCAAAATTAACAGTGCGCAAAATTTTTATTTTGAAGGTAAAAAATGCACTCTTTCCGGAAAATTCAAAATGTCGATAAACTCAGAGCAGGAAGAGCTGCAATCAAGCGTGAACATCGATCTCCCTCATTGTATTGAGTGCGGTGGCTACGGTGTTGGATTAATCACGAATCCTCAAAAGCTTTGCACGCATTGTGCACGTAAGACCAAGGCTTTTTTCGACCCCGACGCCAACGAGTTCTGCAAGAACGAGGGCTTCGTTGATATATCACCGACCGCTGACGGAGGTGTTCTCAAGAAGGTGGCCACTACATATTTATTCGAAATCATATGACGTCACTGATAAATATTTACTGCAGATTATTAAAGAGGGAGAATGGAATGGAAAGCGTAGACTTGAAGAGGGTTGTCCAACGTTTGTGCACTATGTAGGAAGACTCTTGGACGGATCCATCTTTGACACAACGTAATGTGACTTCATTCTATTTTCCAAGTATTGCTTACGCATCAGATTAACGTGTACTTAATGCTGCAGCCGCGATGTTATTGATGGAAAACACGTTGGAGGCACGGATGACCCATTCGAGTTTCAATTGGGTCGAGGTGTGTTTATTATTTCGGGATCATTGTTGTTGAAAAACAAATCTTCACACAATTGATTTCACGCTTAGAAAAAGTAATCAAGGGCTGGGATATTGGTGTTGCGACGATGACTGTGGGTGAGATCGCGCGATTTATCATTGCTCCAGAGTATGGATACGGTCATGCAGGGTTTGCGCCGAAGGTAGAGCCAGACGAGACTCTCGATTTTGAGATCGAGCTACTCAGTTTTAAGGTGCCGTGATTGATTCAAACAATATTCGCGAACCAGATATTGTGACATTTTCAATCCAGGATCCGCTTCCTCGCTTCCCGACGCAAGCCGAGCTAGCAGAATCTCGCAAGAAACAGATTGAAGAGGACAAGAAACTATTAGAAGAGAATCCACCGCCAACGGTCGGTACGTACGATAGATGTCTCCTGATCAATGAACAAATTGCTGAGTCGTTTTTATATATCTTTAAACGGTTAGATGAGCGTATCACAAGTGCGTTGGAGCAAAAGGAGAAGGGCAATGCGTTAATCGCCCTGAAGAACTACGATCAAGCTCAAAAATGTTACGACTCCGTATGTATGATGTCAATTCTTTACTTTATCATGAACTTACGTTGCACTCGTAGGGTTTTGTACACATTTTCTATACTAAAGAAGAATGGGAAAATTTTGTGTCGCAAGAAGACAAGGACAAGGTAAACAAAGTTAAGTCGGTACTGTACCTTAATCGAGCGCTATGCAAGATCAAGCTTAAGAAGATTGAGGACGCACTTTGGGATTGTGATCAGGTAGCTTGGCTACGTTTTTTTTACTGTTTTCGTCAGTTCCTGATAATTTGCACCTCTAAAGGCTATTCTTCTCGATCCGAAGAACAGCAAGGGCCACTTTCGTCGAGGTCTCGTGTTCACTGAAAAATTAAAGGCGGAGCTTGAGAAAGAAAAGAATGGCGAGTTTTGGATTGTTGATAAGGGCTTCGAGTACGCAAATGAAGCCGAGAAGAGTCTAAAAACGGCTAAGGATTTCACTGAAAATTCCAGTGATTATAAGATGCTGCAAGCCTTGGCTGACCTCAAACGGAATCATGTGTGTATCCCTTGGCTTGTTTTGTTAATCCTGTGAGTAAAACAACACTCACTTTTTGAGTGCTGTGCGACGTAGGCACTGCTGAGCAAGTATGCTGCGAGATATAAAGAAGACGAGAAGAAGTTGTATAAGGAAAAGATCTTTGATCGCTTGCAGGCAAAAAACAAGAAATTGGAACAGCAAGAAAAATTGAAAGCGGAAGCTGAGGAGTTCGACGATATGCCTGCACTCGAGTGACGAATCCGAACTGAAAAAGTTAGCTGAATGAGAGTACTAAGTACAGTGCATTATATTTTCTAGGTGATAAGTCCAGTGCTATCCTTTATATTTTGCTGAGGGTGCCGATGGGCACTATCAGGGATCTTGTTCGTCGTCAGACTCAATATCTCCATATTGCCACAGGCAACGGCGCTGCTTCTTGGCAATCTCCTGAGCGTTTAGCAGCCCATCAACAACTGGTTTTTGGAAAGGTAGGCATAACCGAAGTGCCTTACGATCAATTCGCAGTAAACCAGCCTCAACCAGTGATTCCGCGACACTCTTGCCGTCTGGCAAGTAGAGTGAAACCTGTTTACGGCCGTGGTCGTCAACGTTGTGGACCCGACACGATAACGTCTTGCCCCATGCGACTTCGCCCAGGCGCATGGCAGCGTCAGCTCCAAACTCCTCCGTAGCAGCAAGTGGCTTAATCCACGCAAACACAGCCTCTTTCGCTTGAGGTGGATACTGAAGCGCGTCAGCATCCAAGGGACGGAGTTGATTAACCGTTACTGTTGTCTCGTTTCCATAGTCCAAAAAGCGGACGCGCGCGGAACCATCTTGATTTACATGCTCCACCTTGGTGCGGTTCCACGTTGAGCCGTTGCCGTCGTCGAAAAGAGCAGCGCACACGGCGTTTCGACGAACTTCAAAAGTCTTGCCCGCGAGACCATGCGTACGCGTGAATGCCTTCATTTTTTCCTCAATCGCAGCACAATTGCGGTCACTTATATTTTGAAAGTAAAAGTGAGTGCCGTTGACAATTTCCGACAGTTTGACACGCGGAATCACGTCGTCTTTTGTCTTCACCTGCTTCGCTTCGGCAGCCTTTGCCGCAGCAAGAGCGTCATGCGTAGCCCAGTAATTTTTCTTCTGCGCCTTTGCTCGCTCTTCTGCACGCTGAAGTACGTTTCCAAAAGCCGTACGCTCAACACTGAATGAATCTACCCACGCCAGACCCTCATCCAGCAAACGGACGCCAAAATTGTGCGCATCATCGCGCGAAGGTTTGCCACCGTCTTGAGGCACCACAAACAATGGACCGAAGGCATTTCCGCCACGATCCATGTCTTCAATTTCGACCATCACTTCCCGTTGCATCACATTGCGCTTCGTAAACAGCTTGGCCTCTTCACCAAGAGACTCAGCAGGCTGCACAATGACTCCTTGAGCACCATGGCGAGCAGGTTGAGGGCATTTGATACCGGCAACGACAAAATTTATCAGACAATTTTCCTTCGGCACGTACAATTTTACTCGCGTTGCTGAGTATACGTGCTCAACGACAGCACGAGTTGAGCGTTCTCGTGTCAGGAACGGCAAAAATTGTTTTGCCTTGGTAGAATCAAAGCACAAGTCCGTCACACGGCGCTCGGTAGTAGGTGGCTCCTTCGTCGAGTGCAAATTCTTCTTTTGTGACTGAGCCTTCGTCTCCGCTGTGACAAGGTCATCATAATATTCACTTTTTTCTTCATCTGGTCGATGACGTACTACTTCGGCTAAGCCAGCCGCTACAATTTCCAACGCAAGATTTGCCCCCTTCGCTTCGGGATTTTTCTTGAGTGCATTTGCTGATGGCTCCAAAAACACCGAAGCAAATGTCATGATATCTCCTTGACCATTTGGACTAGGTTTTTCATACTCAACTTCAATGTGCACAGTCTTGGCAATGGCACGATGGCGAATAAACTCCTTCGCTTCTATTGCGTACGGTGCATTCATCTCTCCACGACGAGCATTACCGAGTCGTGGAGCACGCAATGAGCTCAAGTAAATACGTTTCTCTTGCTCAATCGGCGTTGGAGCAGTTGGCACGTAGACAACAATACAATCACCGCTTATCACTTCAACGACCGTGCCAGTTACGTGCTTCACTGACTGTAGCACAGGCAATTCGTAATCTCTCCACACACGCAGTTGTTGTTGTTTCGCCTCTTTTTCAGCATTGCGCATCGTTGCACGTGCCGATGCGCTAGTAAAAGCCGAACTCCAATCAGCCATTCGTCCAAGACCGTTTTTCAGTAATTCAACGCTAATATTACGCCCAGATGGGTGCACGATACTACCAAACAAGTTGCCAAATTTGTCAACGCCTTCGAGCTTCAATTCGACGTCTCGATGGAGTAATCGTACTTCTGAAAAGTGTTTGGCTTCACGTGCATGGGGAGCTGGTCCAGTCGTGACGCTCGTGTTACTTTCTGCGTTCATAGGCGGATTCATACGCGGACATTGGACACCGGATAGTGCGAAATTTACCAGTTGTAACGATGGCTTTAGTATTACGCGAAACGAGGCACCGTCTCGTACAGATTCTACTATTGCTGGTACCAGTTTTCCCTTGTGTGCTTCGAGTAATGCTGCTGCGTCTGCGCCATGCCATTGCACTGTTACGTTCGACTCGGCGTTCGCGTCTGCGTACATTCCTTTCTTCTCGTTAATTGCAACTTGCTCTTGTTGAAGCATTTTTTCATGATCAACACACACGCCTTCTCGCGATTGTTCCAGTGTCTTGACCCGTGCATAACCTGTACGCGCTTGGATCACGCATAAATTCTCCTCGACGTTGCGAGCGTTGGGCGGAAGCCAAACGGAGCCAAAGTCGCGATTAATAGACGGAACGCGATACTCCACTTTAAAGCGCACTTGCTTACCAATGCATAATTTGCGAAGATGTTCGCGGCTTGCCCAAGCGTACGGCTCGTTGCTTTGCTCAGGCGATCGGGCTAAACGCGGCGCTTGTAGCGATGATAGGGTCAACATGAGCTCTTGAGGAGGACCATTAGCTGCTGCACCCATAAGCACCAGTGTATCGCCTGATAGAACAGCTTTGACGGTGGCGTGACCGGATGCCATCGTGGTAGAGATATCGTTGAAGGGAGTTTTGCGCGTGGGGACACTTCTTGCACTTTGCAGACTACGTTGATATTGACACGTATCTTTGATCAGTTTATAGAGGGAGCTTTCGTAAAGATTTTTTATAAAAACGTTTTTGGCCACGTCACAATATTATATTAGTGATTAAGTAGCGACAGTGACTTGGCATCAAGCTATTTTTAAGATGTGTGAAAACCCAGGCACTGACCAGCGCTGTTACGAGTGTTTGTACATCAATCGAACGAAAGGGCTCTGCAGCAGAGAAGCATGCCATGAGAACCAACACGCAGCGTGATCTTGAAGGAGCTGAAATAGAGAATTTTCTCATGCTGTGCCGCGAGTCTCCTACGCTAGAAAACGATCTTTCACTTCCTCTCTCATCTCGATGGACTTGTCAAAGGTCAACGATACATCGCTGCTTGCGATGTAGGGTCAAGATTTGGTAAGTGGACCACCGATCGACATTATTTGTACGTGTCAAGCGTGGTCTAGTGACCCTTGACACCTTTTAGCATT